AGGGCCTCCCTGCTGCTAGCAGAGGACTTAAGACACTGCAAGCCAGTGGCTGAGGGGTCCTGCAAGGCAGTCTTCCTGCAAAAAGGGTGTATGGGCTCCAGCCTGATTGTTAGAAGAGCTGCTGTTCGCTTATGCCCTCTGGGTTTTCTATCACACTGTAAGGTTGGCTGAAGAGGCACAGATGCCTATTACGGAGAGGAAACTGAGGCTTGGACTGTTGTACTGTCCCTGCTCGGCACTTCTTTTTTTTTTTTCTTTTTTTTTTGGGGGGGGTTCTGATTGTGAGGCCTGAACTCTGGGCCTGGGTGCTGTCCCGCAGCTCTTCAGCTCAAGGCTAGCACTCTACCACTTGAGCCACAGCGCCACTTCTGGCTTTTTTTTTTCTTTTTTGCTTATGTGGTGCTGAGGAATCGAACCCAGGGCCTCAGGCTTGCAAGGCAAGCGCTCTACCACTGAGCCACCTTCCCAGCCCCACCTGCTCGGCACTTCTCCATCTTCTTAACTGTGGCCTCGCCTGGCATAGAGACAGGTGGGCACAAAGCTGGGCTAGGAATGGACACCGGTGTCCTCCCAGGAAGGTCAAGGAGTTTCTACCCATGCTGCTGGGTAAGCTTGGCTTTGATGTTTAGCTTAGGTTCCTGTTCTAGCCTTCGGGAGACTGTGGTGAGAACTGGTACTCCCTGGCTATCACTGCTTGCAAGAGCTCCAGTATCCTCTTGCAGAGAGGAGGACTTGAGGCTTAAAAAGAGTAAAGGACCTACCAAAGTTTGAGCCGAGATGAATCATTCAGAACCCAGCCTCATACCTCCCATATCTGCCATCAAAAACTTGTTCAGCCTAGATCTGAGCACAGCTCTATCTGTTGGGTCTTGGGGTGGGAGGAGGAGGGGAAGGAGAGAGTGGGTGGTGGGGCTGTGATCTCTACTCAGTCTCTCTCAAAAGTTTGCCCCAGTCAACTAGGTAGGAATGGTGGGGACAGAGCCTGAACTGAGCAGGCTCTGGGTTACCCGGGCTTGTTAGTGATTTAGTGTCATATGTACAGCTGGGGTGGGCTGCCGCAGGGGGGTGTCATCTAGCCCATCCCAGGCCCCTTGCTGTTCTGTCTTGGGATGAGAGAATGTGGCCCAAGGCTGGTCCATGGTGTTGATTGTATCAGATTGATGGTGATGCTTTAGCAGGCTGGGGTGGGGCAGGTGTGCCATAACTGGGGATACAAGCCAGGACTTCCTAATGTCCACTCCCATCCCAAAGTAAGTAAACCTGTCTCCTTTGAGACCATGTCATTACAAGTTACTACTCAACTTCGCCGAGCCTCAGGTTCCTCAAGTGTGGAGCATGGACCCTTGTCTTTGAGAGGTTCTATTAGTAATCAATCTGGAGAGAGAATGAGGTATGCAGTAACTGCTTAGTGAGAGGATTATTGGGGAACCCCAGATCTGGCTCAGAGATGATTGTCTGGTCAGAGACATCCCCTCCCATAGCCTAGACTCAGTACAGGAGGGAGAGAGATTGCATTCATACAATACCCAGACTGGGAGGAGCTTCAAGAGCCAAGTCTGGCTGCCTCAGCCCTTTTCTGGGCCTCAAGGAGCCAATTATCCCCTCAGCCTCTCCTGCCCACTTCACCCACTTGAGCCACTGCAGTGTAGACCCAGTGGCAGCAAGGAAATCTGAAGAGCGGCACCATGCCTAGCTCCTGGGCAGATGGCTGCAGCTGTTTCCTGGAAGCATGATGGTACAGGACTAGGGGACCACTAATTGAGAGGTACCCAACCAACTTGGTGACCCGGGAGACCGTGGCTACCCAAGGCTATGGGGAAGGTTGTGAGGAGTGACCTCAACTGAGTGACCCTGAGCCAGGATCTGGACCTTTCTGGATCCCCAATCCCAGCAGTAATCTTAAGCAGCTGGGCTCGGGACCTCTTCCTCTTTCTGGGATTTCCCAGGCTTTCCCAGTCTTCCTGTTTCCTATAGTTCTCAGCACTCTTTCCTGCCAGAGCTGGCACTGATTGGCATAATAGACAAAGGAGCATGGGTACAGGCAAATCTCAGAGGTCCCTGGGACTGCTAGGAGGGGACCTTGTCTAGGTCTTTGTAGTAGTCCTTCAGTTGTACCACCTTGTATGTGTTCTATTTCCCTAGCCTCTGCCATCAGGTTGGTAAGCAATCTGGGAACGTCACCTGCCAGGCCAGGTTCTAAGCTTCTGGTGGGAAAGGCAGAGATGATTCAGTCCTAGGCTCCATCCCTAGCTGTGTGACGGCTGCTGATCTCAGTTTTCCCAGGTAAGGAACAGAAACCCTCACCTCTCCTATGAGAAGTGGAGGTAATCCAGAGTGAGCCAGGCCTAGAGTGGTGAGTCCCTTTCCCTGTTATGGGAGAAGGGAAAACAGGCCCATGTTTAGCTGCCTCACTGCTGCCCAGTGTGGGCACTGCCCTACTTCAGCCCCAGTTGCCAGGGAACCACTGGGTCCCTTGCTAACCTGGATCTCTCTATTGATGGGCAGTCTTTGTGTTCCTGCCTAGTGTGGCCACCACTGAGGGAGGCCTGTGTCCAGCTGTGTTTCCAGGCAACCCTCCTCTTGAGGCTGGAAGGAGGTCCACAGGGCCTGGAACCACTGGTGGCTGGGAAGCAGTATCTGCTGGCTCACCTTACCTTGCCCCAGGTGGGCCTTGTACCTGCCTGCCTCCGCGTCCCTCTGTCCCCTCATTTGGCAGGCAGCCCAGCTGCCTGCTGAGAAGCAAATCATTTAGTGCCTCTCCCTCTTCTGCTTAACCCTTCGGAGATCTGAGAGACCCTGGGGAAAGTGCAGACTTCCGGGGTTGCAGCTGAGGTTGGGAAGTGTGGTGCCTCTGTCCACCCAAACTGTCTGTCCCGAATTCTTCTCCTATCCCTTCTTTCCCCAGAGGGGCTGAGGGAGTACCTGCTGTATGCCTGACTCTATGCTAGGCATTGACATAAATATAAAAAAGAATCTCACCTGTGCTTCTCACTTGCTGATGTGTACATGCCCCTTCCTTCTCCACCATTTCCATGTGGGGAAACTGAGGCATGGTGAATACCGTTTGAGGGCTTACTCTGTTAGTCCTGTTGCAATAATTAAATGTGAGTTCTCACATTTCACTCCCATGACAGCCCTCTGCAGGGGAGTCCACAGCCAGAAAGCCAGTGAAGAGCAGAAGTTGGCTTTTGCCCCAGATCTGTTCCCTCATTAGCCCAGGGCTTCAGGTCCAGCTTTAGACCCACTGCCTAACCTGGACTCAGGGTTCTTTTGTCTTCAGCTTGCTCTCTGTCCCCCTTCCCTGGCAAGGCAGGGCCATCTACTGAGGACACATTTTCAGCCTCCCATCCCTTGGGTAGCAGAGTTTTTACCCAGCAGTGCATGCCCTGTGGTTGGGGGAGACTTCCAGGAGGAAGTGACTTTGAACAGAGCTCTGGAGGAAGAGGAGGTGTTGACCAAGCGATGGGAGGGGTTTCTGAGCTGAGGAAATAGCAGGTAGTGTGTGTGTGTGTGTTTTTCTGAGAGAAGCTTGAAGTGGCTGGTGTGTGCGTATGTGTAGGGGATTGGCAGAGGGCAGGGCGTCAGGATGCCATCCGGAGGGTGGTGGGAACTGGCCCAGAGCCATCCCAGAGCTAGGCTGTGGGATGGGGCTGACCTTAAGGAGTCTTGGGGAATTCGTTGGAGGGGAGGGCCTGGCTGGAGAGGAGCAGGGGCTGGAGTGACCCTGGGGGTTCAGTTCTAGGAAAGGGGAAGCTGCCTGAGCTGGAGGCCCGTTCAGAGCTTCCTCTTTCAGTGAGGCCTTCAGGGTGGCTCTGCCCTGAGCCTCTGACACCTCCAGTTTCTACTGTAGCTGGAGGGCCTGGTGTGGTGCTGCTTGTTGGCTTTGGTCTGGGGAATTTCTGGCTTTGAGCTTGGGCGCTGTTTTGTAGTGCTGGGTCTGAGGAAGCCCTCCTTGCCTTCATGAGCCCATTTGGTAGAGGCTGCTGCTCCAGCCCAGTCCGGGGGTCGGGCTTTGTGGTGAATAAAGCAGACATCCTGGCCTTGCCTGTTGTCTGGTTGGGGGCAGGCAGTAAACAAGTAAGCAGACAAATACTTAATTACAAACCTGCAGCCTCTAGAGAGAAGGAAATCCCATGACCTACTTGAGGTTCATGACAACCTTACCTCATTTGAAGCTCATGACAGCCTTTTGCCCTGGGGGATACATACCCCCATCTTGCAGATGAAGAAACTGAGCCCGGGAAAGCCAAGGGGCTTAGGTCCCACAGGGAGTTGGTGGATAGGTTTAAAATTGGAGGAAAGGTGGCCTGTGAGCTAGCTCACTTCCTTCTCTGTTAGAATCTGGTACCCTCGTTCCTCATCCAGTGTGACTGGAGGTGGCTTTCCTCCTTCAGGTCATTAGAGGTCCTTGGGCCTCGTTCTCCCAACTCTGCTGGCTGTCGTACAGGTAGCCCTTGGGAGGTGCTGGGCTTTGGGACATTATGCAGATTATCTGATGGTGGGTTATTCCCAAGCCCTCCTCTCAGCTGAGGAGCTTCTCCCTTTGAACTTCAGTTTTCAGATCAGAGTTTCAGGGCTCTGGCTTGAGGGGAAGAGGTCTGAGCAGCCTTTGTTACACAAATGTGTGCATGGGACTTTCTGCCTGACCAGGCAGATCTGGCAGGGGGCTTGGTCTGGCAGAGTGTAGGGGCTGGGGCAGCCAGACTGGAGTAAGTGCTGGTTTGGAGTAATTAGAAGGTGCATAATTAGAAGGCAGGAGGGCGCTAGGCGGCGGATGTCTGTGAATGTACCAGAGTGGACACGCTCTGGCTTTGAGTCTGGGCCCCCGACCCTCACTTTCTTCCTGGAAGTCTTCAGATTACAGCACTTCACACTTGTCTGCAGATGAACAGCTGCACAGCTCCTCCTGAGGGCTCAGGTCACACAGCAGGTTTTACCAGGGTTGGGTGGCCCTGGGGCCCTCCCTTCTGCAGCTGTTTTGCTCTACTCTTTACCCGCTGCCTGGTGCTCTGGGCTGGCCTATGGACATGGAGGAGGATTGGGACTCAGCCTGCGGTTTGTGTTTGAGCCTGTGAGTTTAGAGCCCTTTTGAAGGACTGGGAGATGGATTTGAGCCTGGTGCAGGGCCTGAGCCAGATCTGTGTGACAGAATCTGGAAGTCTTGTGACCTAATCTGAGGACGGACAGGTCAGGGGATGAGTCAGGGGTGCCATCTGTTGAGTGTTGACTGCCAGATGTGTCCTTTACCTACTCTATGGCCCGGACTTCCCTGTCCCTGGTTTTCCCCTCAGCTGGCCTGGGGCCCAGAGCCACAGGCTGCCAGTGACCTGGAGAGTCCCAAGGATGATGTGACCACTACCCCTCCCCCTCCCCTGGGTGTAACTCAAATCCCTGGCCCTGATGAGGCTCTGTGCCCGGCCAGGCCCAGGTCAGGCAGGTGGATCAGTTTCCTTGGCTCCTTTTCCAGGTGGGAAGCGGGATTGCCCACCTGAGAGTGGCTCTGGCAGGATCTGGAACTTTCTGCAGGCAATGTGTCTCCAGCCAGGCTTGGAGCCCTTCACCCAGGCCAGTGGCTGGGCTCTGTGAAGCCTGGGAGCAACCTTGGGTTTTGGAGGCTGTGTGTACTCTGTGCTGGAGCCTGGTGCACAGCTTAGTCAGCCTTCTGACCCTGAAGCCAGGCCCCTGAGAAATGCATCGAGGAACTTCCTCATTCTGGGATGGTCTCTTCTGTTGTCTGATATGAATCCTGTGCCTGCTGCCCCCCCCCCCCCCCCAGCCTTGTCTACTGGCTGAGGTAGCCTGGGCCTGAGGATCCAGGACTGGAGTGGTAAGCTGGGGACTTAGCACAAGTGTTTTCTAGATTTTTACACTTTGTACAAACCCTTATTTCTTCTCACTTACCACAAACTAACAGCAGAACCACTCTCTCTTAGTCCGTCTGCCATTGGTGTTCCTGCAACTGAGCTCCCTGAGGACAGGGCATCCTCTGTTGTGTTCATGACTATTTCTCTAGCGACAAGGCCATGCCAGCACAGGAGGTGCTGGAGATGAGGGGAGGCTTCCATGACCACCCCAGCCTTACAAGTCTGTTCGGGCACTGGGCAGGCAGAAATGCACAGAGGAGAGGCCGGCCTCTGATGGAATGGGCAGGGGAGAGAAGGCTTCTAGAAAAGCATCCAGAAAGAGGCTTTGACAGGTGAGGGCCAGGGCTTTCCTTAGAATTAAAGTAACATGAGTGAAGGCGGAGGAGCGTGAGTGTGGCAGGTTTGCTGACCTGGCAGAGTTCTGGCTGCCAGGAGCTGCCGTGAGAGTAGAGAGGCAGGGCTTGGCGGGAGGGGGATGGGCATGGCATTACCATCCTCGCAGCCTTTGGCCCAGGCTTCCCCCATGCTTCCTTCCTCCTTCCTTGCTTCCCTGTGATGCTGTGCCACTGGGTACCTGGCTGTTTATGGAAGGGGAAGGAAGCCCTTCCTCCTGGAAAGCCTCCCAGCCTACAGAGGTCAGTGTCAGCCCTTCAAGCCTAGCCAGGCTGGGGAGGCTGGTCCCAGACAAGCAGCCCCACCCTCTGCTCAGGCTTGCACCTGGGGGTGTGAGCAAGCTGGCCACCTGCGAGTGTCTGCCTGCCCAGCAGCACCATGCCAACTCCTTGTCAAGTCCTGTCATCCTGAGAGTTGCCTAGGGGTAGGATTGAGGGATAGCAGCTGCCTGTCTGGCCAGACTTGTGAGCCTCCCTTCCATCTGCTTTAGGCTGGTGATCACTCCCAGGCCTGATGATGAAGTTGCACCTGCCATGCCAGCCCCTGTCCTGCCTCTTCGTGGTGAGTTGGAGATGGGACTGGGCTGGGGAGAAGTCAGAGGAGCTGATCCTGAGCCCTGCACCTCAGCCCTCCAGGGAACAGGATGCAGATGCCGCTCGGGTCCCTCAGGCTGTGGGAGGCTACAATCTTCAGCTCTTCTTGGGAAATGTTTGAGCCAGTCAGACCATAGGAAATACCTCCTGGCCCACACTGGCATGAGATGGTGACCCAGTGGGGGTAGCCTCAGCCTCCCCTCTGCATGCCATCCAAGACAGAACACAGCTTTCCCAAGCCATGCCCACCCAGGCTAGGCTATGGACTTGCTGGCATTTTCAGCATGGTTGAGGACCTTCTGGCCAGCAGGCAGCTGGAGGCACAGAGGCAGGTGGGGAGAGTGGGCTAGAGACCTGGAGGAAATTAGAGTTCCAGGACTCAGAGACCTCATATGCTGGAGTTCAGGCCTCTACTGGTCTAGGGACCTAGATTCCAGATGTAGAATCTGAGAATCAAGCCACCTACACCTACCAACTTGGAGGAAGTGTCTTGGACTCTGGTCTAAGTTATCTTCTTGCTGTAACACTGGAAGCTCAGGGAAGTCAAGACTTGGCCTTAGCCAAGAGGCCTCTAAGCCATAGCAGGGACTGGCAGCCAAGTCTAGGGAAAGACCAGATCCTGAGATATTCTACCTCCAGGGCAACTGACTGTGTTCTGTGCCTGGCACCCCACCAAGCTGCTTAGACCAAATTGGAGGATTGAGTCTCCCCACAGCAAGAGGAGTTCAGGGCAGACAGTATAGGCCTGCGACTGGGAAGCAAGAAAGTCACTATGGAAGGGCTAGAGACAGGTGTTGGTGTTGAAAAGACCTTACACTTGAAATGTGGTATGCTCTGTTTGGGTGCAGGGGTGTGAATGGGTGCTTGCTGCAGGGAGAGGCCACAGAGGAGGAGGTGGTCTCAAACTCAGCCTGGGGCTCAGAATAGTAAGCACCAGCTGCAGACTTGGCTCCAGGGATAATAAACAGAGGCTGGTTAATGACATGCCCAGCTGTGAGGGAGGGTGGGGGAGGTGGCAGGAAGGGGACAGTACTGAGAGAGGAATTCGGAAGCATTTCCTCATTATTTTTTTCTGATTAGCTAGAAGGGGTATAACTCTGACACCGAAGTGCTTGAGGCTGTGATTCACTTTCCATCAGTAGATACGGTTCTCTCCTTACCCAGGTACTGACAGTACAAGCCTGAGACAGGACGGTTTTTCTTGGCAGTGTTAGGGATTGAGGTTAGAAGAGTGCTCCTTAAGCCTGGGTGATGTGGTCAGTGATTCCCATTCGTAGGGCCTCAGGAAGCCAGCAGTAGGTGGATGACCCTATGGGACCCTAGTACCTCTCCTGCCTTTCACCATGCTCCCAAACTGTGTTCTTCCAGCTGCTTCTCTGTCCTCTGGCCACTCTGACATCAACAACCCCGTGGCTGTGTCCACCTGGAGAAGAGCCTAACCTAGTAAGTGTTGAGACCATCTCTCTGTCTCCAGAGGGAAGAGGGTGGAGGCCCAGGCTGGCCTGGCCTCCCGGGGACCTTAGGCTTGGCTGCTGGTCTTGTTCTCACCCTCTCTCTCCCACAGGACCCAGGTCAGGCCACATTATGCAGGTCCTGCCCCCCAGGCACCTTCTCAGCCTCATGGGGTTCCCGCCCATGCCAGCCCCATGATCGCTGCAGCCTCCGGAGGAGGCTGGAAGCTCAGGCCGGCACAGCAACTCGAGATACACTGTGTGGAAGCTGTCAGCCTGGGTGAGCATGGGGTTGGAGTGGAGCTCATGCCTGAGAGACCAGAACTCCAGATCTAGGATTCTAGAGCCTCAGTCTTCCCATCTGTGTAATGGATGGGGCAGAACCATTGAGGGAACTGGTAGGAAGGAAGCCAGCTTCTCTGGAGGACAGTTGTTTGAAGAAACACATAGATGTCAATAACATCTCTTCCTGCAGGTGGTTTGGGCCTTGGGGGGTCCCCAGTGTTCCATGTCAGCCATGTTCCTGGGCACCTCTGAGTACTCATGGTTGTGATGGTGAGTAGGGAGTGGGTCAAGGATTGTTGGTGTTGGGGGGTCCAGTGACTTAGCGCCTAGGAGCTCCTGCTGTGCCCATGAGAGGGGGCCTGGAAACATGCCAGCATTGCCCATTTGCTTCCAAATGGTAGAGACCATTCAGCAGGAGGTGGCCACAGGGGTTCATACCCTACCCAATCCCCTGTTCCTGCCCCAAGATCCCTGCTGAGGGACCCATGCTCACATGTACACACCTCCTCTCACCCCTGAGCCCAGCGTCCTGAGGCAGAGTTCACAGACCATGCGGTGGGAGGGTGGGCCCCTGAGTCCCTGTGCCCAGGCATGTGCCGCGTGTGCCCATCTGCCCACTCTTCACACCCCAGCACCAGGGACAAATGGAGTCTAATGGCCTGGCCATGCTGAGGCCTGAGGAGCCCGCCTTTTGGGGTGACTGACTGAGTAGATGGCCAAAAGAGGAAACTAGAACGGGGCAGGAGCCGGCATTGGTCTTCCCACGTGCATGGCAGCTGCCCTGGGCACATCAGTTCCCCGTGCTAACTCCGGCCCTGGGCTGTCTGTCTGTATGTTTGTTTCTCTATCTTCTCCACGGTGCTCAGAATGGGGGCGACGGGCCCGACGTGGCGTTGAGGTGGCAGCAGGGTCCAGCAGTGACGGGGAGACGCGGCAGCCTGGGAATGGCACACGGGCAGGTGGTCCCGAGGAGACAGCTGCTCAGTACGCAGTGATTGCTATCGTGCCCGTCTTCTGCCTCATGGGACTGCTGGGCATCCTGGTGTGCAACCTGCTGAAGCGCAAGGGCTACCACTGCACAGCCCACAAGGAGGTCGGGCCTGGCCCTGGAGGAGGTGGCAGTGGTGAGGCCCAGCATGGGGTGGAAGGCCAGGGGGTGCTGCTTCTGGGGTGGAGGTTGAGGCTTGGAGATGGGGAGAGGTGAGAGGTGTTGGAGGGATTCTCACTCTGGGTGTGATACAGTCCAGCTGAGGGGCTCTAGACTCCTTAGAGACTTAGGTGCAAGGGTTGGATGACCTTTGAAATATTCAAAGTGACTTCTGACCTTTGGCCTGGAACCAAAAGAATGGCTGTGTCAGGCTCCCAGGCAGCTGTCCTAGACAGACACAAATAGGCACTCAGGTTTCAGCTCCAGACTATGGTTCAAGTTACAGTTCCTGGAACCAGAGGGAGAGACACATTCTCCTATCCCACCCCAGGGTCCAGGGCCCTTTTCCTCTTCCCTACCTGCCCAACATCTATGAAGGAGAGGAGCCTGTATGCTGTCTTGGTCCCACAAGGATCTCTTGGCCAAGTCTAGAATGACATGACATCTCCATACTAGTGTCCCAGGCTGCCTGAGGATGGCCAGAGCTCCTTTTCCCTACCTGAAGCTATGAGGGGCAAGCAGGGTCAGAAGCTACAAACAGGCAGGTGGTGACTCAGGGCTGTTTTTCCTGGACTGCACTTGTCTTCCTAATGTAGTCCTTCCGGAAATTGTTGGATGCTGCCTAGGTGCAAGTCGGCTAGGCCCAGAACCCATCACAATGGCCCATTCTCAGACCTGTGAGGTTTGGGCCCCAGGTTTGCTGAGATTTGCTGATCAAACACCTGTGTTTAGCAGTCACATGGATAAGATAGGATAGAGGGAGAAAATGGGGAGAGTTTATAGGAGAGGTTGGGTGTTCTGGGCAGGGAGAAGCTCCCCTGGCCTGATGTTCCCTGAGGCTGACACAGTCTGCAGAGGTGAGGATTCACATGGCCCTGAAACCACTGAGCACTTGTGGCTACTGAGTACACAGAAAGCGATGTCAAGTGCTAAACGTGATGATGGATTTCTTGGAGTCACAGCTGTGACTATGGGCTGTAGGCGAGCCCATAGGAACAGGGCACCCGGTGTCTTGTCACCTAACGTGCAAAGCTCTGCTGCAATTCCGAGGAAAGCCTGGGGTGCCCTCTGCTGGCAGAGCTCAGGAGCTCAGCATCATGTCTCCTAGGTTAATGGTTCTCTTCTCTTCCCCAGGTATCAACCCCGCCTATCAGAATGAGGAAGCCAATGAAGACACCATTGGGGTCCTGGTACGCTTGATCACAGAGAAAAAAGGTGAGGAGGAGGTCTGATCTATCCAGTGCCTGGATGCAGAGGCTCTCCTCCCAGTGCCTGTCAGCTGGTGTGTGGCATGGTCTTGCACTGCTCTGCTTCCCTCGGGGGAGGTCCTGCTTGATGAGGGGGTGAAGGAAAAATTGCACAGTCCAGGATGGGGATGAGAATGGTGGTAGTCACAAGGGTGTCTGATGGGGTGGGGACGGGTGGTCCCCTTCATCGTTGGAGCTGGTTCTGACTACAGCTGCCCACAGAGAATGCGGCGGCCCTGGAGGAGCTGCTGAAAGAATACCACAGCAAACAGCTGGTGCAGACAAGCCACATGCCTGTGCCCAGGTGAGGGGAGCAGGACCCTCAGATCACCAGCCTGCCACCTAGGGGCTTCCCATTTGGGTCTGTTCTAGCTCATGTCACCTCTACCCCTCTTCTACCTGCTGTGGTGTCCTGGGCCTGGGCCTGACCCGTGGTAGTGACCGTTTCTACCAATGTCCTCCTGCAGGCTGCCGCCAGCCTCCCCCAGCATACCGCACATCTGCCCGCATCGCCACCACCTCCACACTGTGCAGGGCCTGGCCTCGCTCTCTGGCCCCTGCTGTTCCCGTTGTAGCCAGAAGAAGTGGCCTGAGGTGCTGCTGTCCCCCGAAGCTGCAGCTGCTACCACTCCTGCTCCCAGCCTCCTGCCTAACCCAGCCAGAGCTCCCAAGGCTGGGGCTAAAGCAGGACGCCAAGGCGAGATCACGATCTTGTCAGTGGGCAGGTAAGGGGAAAACACAGAAAGGTTAGGGAGACATATAATAGCAGCCAGTGGGCAGGCAGGGGGCTGGGTCACCTGAGGACTGAGGTCACACTGAGGCCTGACAGTGGGCCTTGCTGAGCAGCATGGGTGGCCAGAGACATCGGCAGTTCCTGGCCAAGCTGTTTCTCACATAGCTGTTGGGGCATCATCGTGGGAAGGGCTCAGGCGCCATGTCAGTCCTAGAGCTCGCCATCTGACCTGAAAGGTGCTGCCCTCTGCCCCCGGGGTTCTCCTCTAATGGGGGATGGCCCTGCCTCTTCTCCCCATAGGTTCCGTGTGGCTCGGATTCCTGAGCAGCGGGCCAGTTCAGTAATATCTGAGGTGAAGACCATCACAGAAGCTGGACCTTCAGGGGGTGATCTCCCTGACTCCCCACAACCTGGCCTCTTTCCTGAGCAGCGGACACTTCTGGGATGTGGCGGAAGCCATACAACGTGGTTGAAGCCCCCCGTGGAGAACAAGGCTGAGGTGAGGGCCTGGTCTAGCAGGTTTCCGTTAGCACCTGGCCAGCCCCGAGTGAAGGCTAACATAGGGGTGGTGGTGCAGGAGCCCTCTTAGCTCTGACCTCCTTTGCCCCTGTCCTCAGGAGAATCGCTATGTGGTCCGGCTAAGTGAGAGCAACCTGGTCATCTGAGGGCTGTCTGGTCTGAGCCACTTGGCCTGGCCCTGGGAGGTTCTGAAGGCTTCCTTTACAAGGCAAAAACTGCTGCGGGACTTGAGGACCAAGGTGGAAGAGCCCAGCAGCCAAAACGGCGAAGGCCATGGACTGGAGGTGGGACTGTTCATCCAGCGACGAGGTGGGCAGCCAGAGGGCACCACACTGAGTGCAAGAGCAGATCGAGATCCCCGCCCTGTCCCTGCCACCCCACATCCTTCCCTGCAGGATACCCCAGGCTTGTGCCTGCCCTGGCCATGTTATAGGAGCCCTAGGGGTCTGGGCTTGGCGGAGCTATGGCACCTGTCCCTGGTGTCTAGACTTTGGGGACCTGCTTGTCCAGGGCCCCAGAGCAGATGTGCCTCCCCTTCCTCTTCTGGCGGGGCCTGCAAAGGTAAGGGACAGAAAAGAGCCTGGAGCTGGAGGCTTGACTCCTGGATTTGAGCCCAGTACATGTTCTCAGCTTTCACTGGGTTCCAGCCTTTCTGACTGAAATGGAGAGAGAACAGCAGCTCATGCCTGGGTCCTCTCCAGTGCCCTGTAGGTTCTGGGCTGGGTCCTGCCAGGAAGAGCTTGACTCTGCTACCCCTCCCATTAGTAGCTTTATCTGGCCCATTTTGTGCTGCTTGCAGGGCCTTTGCCTTCAAGGCCCCCGTGGGGCTGTTCATCCAGGCTCCACCCACAGAAGGGGCTTAAATGCATGTGCCTGCCCCCACCCTGCTATCTTTAATGGAACTGAAAACTCCTCGGCAGGGCTGTGGTGCGGAGGCCTAGCCAGCCCGGTCACCCTCAAGGTCTCTGGAGCTTTGGGGAAAGAACCAGCCTGGTTACCCTCAAGGTCTCTGGAGGCTTTGGGGAAAGAAATACTGGTGGGGCCTCAGTGGTTTGTGTTGTCCCTGTGGCATTGTGTCTGTCCTCAGCCCTGGGCAGCCCAGGCCACTGCCTGCCCTGCTCCATCTGTCTCCACTCTGGCTTAGCACCTGGTTATTTATGTGAGGCCGTGCAGGCACGGGCCCACTGCCCATCCTGTTTATCTTATTTATTAAAACCTGCTGTCGTCGTCCTCTCCCTGCATCTCCATCCCATCCACTTGTTGAGTAATAAAAGGTGGAAATGGTGTCATGAGGAGGTTCCTTTTCCCCCCCACCATGCCTTCCCCAGCTCAGCTGCTTAAGCCCCACTCTGTGTCTCCCTATCCTGTTGCTGATAGACAGCCTTTCTTTCACCATGCCTGGGCAACAGGTGGAGGAGTCCTTCATGTCATCCACTTGTCACTGAGCTCCCCAAAGGGCAGGCTGCCCAGTGTGCGCCACGTTCATGTTTTAAAGTTGTCTAATATTCACATTCTCAAAAGTAAAGAGAAACAAGTGAACTTAGTTTGAATACTATTTTTAACTCCGATATTTTCATTGCAATATAAAATCAATATAAAAATTATGAATGAGCCTTTTGTTTTTGCTTTAGAATCTGGTGTATTTTTTACACATCTTGGTGTGAAGTAGTATTTCAAGAGCTCAAGAGCCATGTGGCCGGTGGCTATTGTATTGGAGCAGCAGTCTTGTGGAGCCTGGGAGACAAATGGGGGTAAGGAAGACACAGTGGGGGACTGGAGAGTGCAGGAAAAGGGAACACACAGGCAAAGGCCAGAACCTAAAGAGGGGAGCTGAAGCCAGTGCCAGTGGCTATGCTTTTAATCCTAACTAGTTGGGAGGCTGAGATCAGGAGGATCATAGTTTGAGGCCAGCTGGGGAATACATGAGACCCCCTTCTCAACTTATAAAAAGCTAGGCCCAGGGTGGTACATGCCTGTTGTCCCAGCTCTGCTGGGAAGCTTAAAACAGGCATATCAGGGTCCTAGAGTGCCCATTCAGGAAGCAGGGAATCAAGACCCTAATGGGATGTGGCTCAGTGGTAGAGCTCCTGCCTATTAAGTCTGAGGTCTTGAGTTCAAACCGTGGTAGTCCATTGATGGGGGGGTGGGGGGGAGAAGCTGAGTCCCTGTGGGTCAAGGCCAAGGAGGCTCCAGTTAGGTAGGAAAGAGACTAGTTGGCCTATCCCATCCACTTGGCCAGTGTGTACAGCAGGAATAGCTGGAGATGGGCCCCTTGAAAAGCTGTTTTGGCAACAGGTATCAGGGAAGCACAGAGGGCTCCTCTCAGGCGTGGGATTGGGGTCAGTTGGATGGGGTCCCAGGACTCAGTCCAGGTGCTGCTTGTGTCAGCCTGGCAGGTCTTGAGGCATCTGGGTCTTCAGGAGACGGAGCTGGGTGACAAGGATACACTCATGTGCTTAGGTGGCATTTATGCTGGGTCTGGGCTGGGTGGAACATGCCGTGGGGAAACGGGCCTGAGCCCCTCTGGGCCCAGCAGGGAAGGCACTGGGAGGCAGGAGTCTTGGTAGCCAGAGGAAGTGAGGGACCAGGAGGTATTAAAGCAATTGTGGACTTGGTGGGAGTCTTCTTAATCAGACAGGAAGGGCAGGGCCAGGTCCTGGAGGACCGGGGGAGAGGGGAGATGGCTCTATGAAGCTCTGTGAAAGCCTGCCTGTGCCAGGTAGAACCTTAGGTTCTGGGAGAGGTGTTTGTAAGTGGCCGTCACCAGTGTTTAGTACACTGTAACAACAGGGAAGAGAGTGACACGTGTACTCACAACTCATCTTCCCACAGCACACTGACGTGCTAGAAGTGACCCTTGCTGGGAACCGGATGTATGAAAGAGGGGTGGCCTGCAGGAGTCCAGAGCCTGCCTGTAGTGGGCATGGGTGGCGACGCTGGGGCCGCACAAAGAAGGGGGCTTCCCCTGGGCAGAAATCAAGGTGGGGTGTGGCCAGACAGTGACAGAGGAAACATCACCTTCAACAGAGGACAGGCAGACATGCTTTGAGATCTGTCCCCTCCCCACTGCTTTTCCCCAGGGCACAGGCTCTTCTGAGACTTCAGATGGGCAGGAAAAGGCCAGGGGCACCTCTAAGGACCCAGGAGAAAAGGTTTCACTTGTACTAGGAGGGGGGAAGGAGGATGCTGGGCAGCTGGAGGAAATTTCTGAAGCACCAAAGATGGTTAAATTCAGGGCAGGGCGAGGGAGGGCAGGGCAGGTGACTAGCGGCTATCACCAGTCCAGGAAAATGCTGCCTGCAATGCAGTGTACTTGGCTGCTGTTTGCCAGCTGTTCGTTGTATCTCTGGGTTTGGTTTCTCAAGCTTGGTTGTTCCCCAGTCAGCTAACCCATCCGCTTCATTTCACCTAGGCCTGGGATGGCACGTGGCTCACTTTGAGGTGGTGTAAGGATGACAGTACCCTGGGGCCGGGAAGGAGGTTGGCCTCCCTCCTTCTCTTGGCCTCTGTCTGCCCAGAGCCAGGCTGGTTGAGATCTCCAGATAATGTATCTTTGGCTGGCGCTTCTAGCACAGGGAAAGGCACACTCAAATGCTAGCCAGGATGGAGATGGAGGCTGGATCCAGGCTACCAGGCTGGTAAGGCCCCTGTATCACAGCACTGTCCTTCACTACCCCTTAGGGTAAGAGCTGGGTGGGGAATCAGATGCAGTGTCTTGGTCTGCCCCCTGGAGGTCCCTGCACACACAGAGATATTCCTGGCCATTCAGCTTGGCCTCCTTCCACTCACCTCCCTCACCACCTCTCTCTCTCTCTCTGTGTGTATGTGTGTGTGTGTGTCTTAAACAGTGACAAATGCTTGGCTTGCAGTCTTCCTGTTACTGCTCGTTGGGCCATTTTTCTTACCAGTTGAGCAGGCTAAACTGTATGTGGCTGGCCCTGGGAAGGGTTTTTGTTGTTGCTGTTTAACCATTTCTTTCTGATATGGAGATCTATCCCAAGTGCTCTATGTAGCTACATCCCATCCTCAATAGATGTGTACTAGGATTTGAACTCAGAGCCTGTGGCTTGCTAGGTAGGCACTTTACCACTGAAGCCATGCACCCATTCCCTTTTGCCTTTTCAAGTAATCTCATGTTTTTGCCCAACATCAGCCTCAGTCTTGATCTTCCTATGCCTCCTGCCTAGCTAGGACAATATGATCACCACTCCTGTCTTATTGATAGGGTCTTATTCTTTGCCCTGACTGGCCTTAAACTACTATTCTCCTGACCTCCTGGATTACAGGCCACTGTACCCATCCTCAGTGTCAGTTCTTAATGGCTTTATTGGCTCCTATTAGACAATTCACCCGGGTGCTGCAGCTGACTCTTCACAGCTTCCATCACTGTGGGATGCTGGACCAGACCCCCTGTGAAGCCTACTATGGGGTACAACACAGGGTCTTTTTTTTTTTATTGTTTTTCCAGTGTCTTGCAATATATATCCCAAACCAGCCTGGAATTACCTATGTAACCCAGACTGGTCTTGAACTTTCCCTTGATTCAGCCACCAGAGTTCTGGGATTACAGGTGGGTACCACTACACCCAGCTCAGAGAGAGAGCAGTTATTTCTTAACTGTTTATTTAAAAACAAGTTTAGAATCAATTTGGGGAGAAGCTCAGAGACTCCCTGAACCAGTTGTTGGGTCTTCTGTGCCTCCCTCCCCCAAGAACCACTCAGTCTGGTCACCTAGGACTTTTTTTCTTTTTTGGGAAACTTTTTTTTTAATAGTTATTGAATGTTCTACAGCTTACAGTAAATATAATTACAAACTCTTGGCTTCAATCTCTTTCAGAGTGATCACTATCTGATCTTCAAAACAAAACTAAACAAAACCCAAAGGAATCCAAAACAATAAAACCAAACCAGATTTACACTTCATACACACAAGTGAGGCCACAGGCTTTCCAATCATCATACTCCAGGCTGTATTTTGAAAACACCTCTAAATTCTTCGATCAAACTACTTGGAGGACACTGTTCAAAGGTTATTATTATTATTATTTTATCATTTTAAACATTTTTTTATTTTTAAAATGTGAGTTCCAATAAAATTTAAAAATTAGATTCCAACCTGTAGATTAAAATGAATTAAAAAATACAAAATCATATACAACGCTCTTTTCGCAGGGATGTTACATGCCATGAGAACAGGCTTCTCTGCGGTGTGACATGGAAGAGGGACGCAGATGCCGTGAAGTCAGGAGGGGACAGGCCCTGGGTCTGCAGAGATCATCAGACCTCAGGTGCCAGAAGCCCTGCTAGCCTCTCTTCCGTGAAGAGACATGGGTCACAACCCAGATCCAGATAATCCAACTGACCCCAGGCAGACTCTGGGCCAGTCCCACTGTCCCTGACTTTTAGGCATGAGGAAGAAGGCTGGAGCCTGAGGATGGCTGTACCCATGGGCTAGCAATTCTATGCAAAGTTGTTCTGTTCTCTTCAGGAAGGAAATCCCTACCAGGAATGCTGTGGGGCTCAATACCACAGCCACTGATTTCTGCAGCTAGGGAGGCATGTGTTGTTGTGTCCCTTTTGGCCAGTCCCAACCCTTGTGTTTCCTGGCTGGCCTCGACAGCATGCAAGGTAGGAAATGCCCATTGGAGAAACTGAGGGAGTGGGACCTAGGTCAGGCTCAGGCAAGGTTGGCCATGGAATGTTGAAGCTGGCCTGTCAGGAATGTTGAAGGCCAGGTCTTGGAGCCCTGTAATGCCAAATTTCCGACATTTCCTAAAAGTGGACATGGATGGGTAAAGGACAGACCCTGAAGCCAACCTGGCATGCCTCAAAAACCTGAGTGTCTTAAGTTACCTGGCTAGGTTTCTTCCACTAACCCTGCTTCCAAAGGTAGGTGTGGCCTAAACTCCAGGAGGCTGCATACCAGCAAGCAGCCTGCCTCCCCTCTGTCCATACTCCTCCTGCCTCTCTAGATTCCCAAGCTTGCAGCATGCAGGGGACTGCACACCAGCAGTGATGTGGAGAAGCAGAGCCTGCCCGAGGGTTCACTATGCTTTACATGAGGAGTGCAGTGATGGTGACTGATCCAGCCAGAATGCAGTGAAGACTACAAAGCCCAGAGCAGGGTCTGTCCCCTCTGGCCAAAAAGCAGAGCTAAGGAATTTGATACGCAGGGCTCTACTAGGCTTGGCTCAGCCTGTACAATGAGGATGCCAGAACTTGGTGACCAAAGGGCTTGTCCTACTTTTAAGCTCCATGTGATTTCTGAAGGCCATTCAAACAAAGCAAACCTTCCAAAGAAGCACTCCCAGGTATATGGAAGGAGAATATTTTAAATTTGGAACAATTTCAGTGGCCAGGGGTAAAAGATTAGGATACACGGAGCCTGCTTCCTCTGTGTGTCTCTCTAGGACCTGGCTCCCACCATGAAAAAGCAATCCGAGGAATTCCAGCTGTGATGTTTTTGTCCATTCAGGGTCTCCTTGAAATGCATCTTGCTGGATCTGTACAGGGATCAGAAAGCCAGTGTGTGCTGGCTTCCTGAAGATGCTTGGCACTTGAACACATCTTCAGTACTAGGTAGGCACTGTCACCTCTTAAGTGTTTTGTTCAAGTGAGGCCCTTTGTTGCAAATTCTCATCCCCTCTGTGCTGCCACCTGATATGCTTCTGGTCCCCAGGGCCATCACAGGCCTTGGCCCAAAGAAGTTCATAGGTCTGCTCAGCCAAGAGAACTGAGCTTCCTGCGTCTTCCCAGTCTTCCTGGGCTTAGAGGCAGACAGCCCTACCCTCCTCCAAGCTTGCTATTTGGACACCCAGCAGGTGGCAGCAGACAGAGCTTTACTTATGGGGATCCCTAGCCCTTTGGAGAATTAGCTTTCTCATCTATAAAATGCGAGTTTGGAAACCCATTGCTGAAGTACTTTGCATATGAAAAGAGCTCTGGCCAGCTGTGTGTGCCCCCGCAGAACATTCAGGGGAGGGAAGTGTATGTCAGGGCCACTGCAGACAATGAGAAGGAGCAGCACATTTGCTGCTGTCTCATGGGGACAATTACATTTTTGTTTTTTTGGTTATCCTTTTCCAAAGCATGGAAAAGTTATGTTTCAGACTTTCATGATTCAGACGCGATACAGTTTCCAGACTCAAACTTCCTGAACCCCAGGTTGCTGAGAACAAGGTCAAGTAGCAGTGCGGGGAAAGAACAGGTGAATGGAATATTGACCCCTGGCCTCAGCCACTGAGATGCTGAGCTGGGAGGGGCAGTGGCATGGGAAGAAGAGGTGTGCTTGCTGACACCAGCTCACTGTCAAGTGTGCATGTCCCTTGCCCTGGGATGGGAGGGCCCTTCTAGCTCTGAGCAGTCCAGGGCCATCCAGAATCTTTGGATGACAGAACTCCTGCCACCAGGACCTTGCTAGGAGCCGTGCTCAACTTACTTGATGCAAACACTGCCTGGATTTCTTGGGCTCAGTCCCTCTGCAGTGACTCCCCAAGCGTGGCCAGGCTTGTGGATCTCTGTTAAATAAGAGGGTGAAGCCAGCTGTGCCAAGGTTCCAGCGCTCATACTGGGGCAAAGAGACACTGGGTCTGGCTCCTACAGAAGACAGCATTTCAATGCCTTTTCACCTTGGGGCCTCCCTTGATCTTGAATAACATACAAGGGCTAAGTCAGGGTGCAGAGCGAAGATGGGGGGAGGGCCAGAATCCAGCCTGGGTTCATCTATCGGGGTGAAACCACACACTGGATGTGGAACTGCTCTGTGAACTGTGAGGCACAAGTTTTTACTTACTGGTGTAGAAAGAACAAAAGTTACAAGGTCATTCCTAGGTTTCCTTTTTTCTTTTCAATCCCACCAGCCCCTCTGGAGGCAGCCACGTTGGGAGTCCTGTCAGGATTCCAGCGCTCAGTTCAACTTTGGGTGGTTTCCTTGCCTGTTTCTCCTTTCTCAAAGAGGTGGAGTAGGTAATCCTGTCATCTCACAGGGCCAGTAAATTAAAGGCTGTGAAATTCTTTGAAATCTATGAAGCACCTGACAAATGCAAAGATTTCCTATTATTATTATTTTGGCATTTTTTCAAACACATATGACATAATCTAGAACAACCTTGCCCACCTGTTCAAAACCAAAGCAGGTGGGGGGGCACTGCAAAAAATGAATGAACACTGGAAAATTTTGTTCTGATACAATGAAACCCTGTCAGCACGCCTCCAAGCAGGGCACTCAGAACAGCCGGTCTTCTCTTGCTGGTCCTGAAGTTCCCTGCAAGGCCAGGAAGGTGTCCCCTAGCTCCTACTCTGGGCCGAGGATGCAGATGGCCCTTACCTCCTGGGAACAGCCAGACAGCTCTGAGGTCTTTCTAGCCCAAGGCTTCCTGATTTTTTTCCTCCTTTAGGGGGACACGGGAAGTAGGGAAAGGATACATCCAAGTTTACATGACTTTTAAATGAAAATAGTTATTTAGAAGTCCCAAGTGTTGTTAATGATCCCATTTTGTACAGTAATGTTCCTGTTCCACCCCAGAAGGGCTGCCGGCTCAGCTATGCGCTGGGTAGAGGGCGATTGATGCTGGACAATCCAGGCTCCTGGATGAGACTAGCAGGGGCCTCTTTGTCCCGGGGGTCCCTCTTCTCCCCAGGCAAGCCCATTCTGCTGGGCCTCAGACTTGTCCTCCTCTCCTGATGGATCCCACTCTCCTCTCTTCCCAGGATGATGAGGGGCTACTGTCCTAAAAGCATGGCCTCTCCTTTTCAGCCAGCCCACCTGCTCCTTTTCCTAAGTGCAGAATCAGGTACAGGATGAAAGTTCCAGATGTCTTCACAGAATTTCCAAATGCTATTTCTTCATTTGCAATTTCTGTTCCTGTCATCTGCCCCCATGTGGCCTCTGCCCAGTCTTCAACCCCCACCTTTAGAATCCTTAGGGTAAAAGAGCAGAAACGAGCCCAGAGATCACTGCAGAGCTTACCAGGTATGAGGCTGCTGACTTAATTATTATGAAACAAAGCCAATCCATCCCTAGCTAAATTTTTGTAGGCAACATGCCACTAGGTAGGAAGGTTGCATTTAATGCTAATTTACTGTGAGGTCCAGGAAAGTCCTTTCCTCTTCTTGTGGCCTCAGTTTCCTCAATCTGTCAAATAGGGGAATGGATGAGATGATTGCTAAGGTCTCTTCAGTTCCATGAGTCTATGAAATGATTATTGCTATTGCTTTTCCTTCACTATCCTGACCTTCAGAGCCATCAGCACCCACCTGGAATGTGGTTCCTTCACTTTGGCCGTGAATGGCACAAGGTAACCAAGAGCTTGGCCTGCCTGCCAGCCTCATAGACAGACAGGTGAGCCCCGGCACTTGGAAGGACAGAAGGGCAAGGGAGAGAAATGCCACAGGTTCCCACTCTAATCAGAAGGAAGCTCCTCATTAGAGTGGGCCAGGAAGGCTCAGAGGCTGAGGTCTGGGTTACACTGGGCACCTGGCCTTCCCAAGTCTCCAGACTCTGGGATTCCATCAGCCTGCGGCTGCTTGGCAAGTCTGAGGTCAAAACTACCTTTTGAGGAAGTGCCAGGTCAGTTAACATCACGGTGCAAATCAGAAGGTCCAGGCCCAAACCATATAGCCAGAGACTTTTCAAACCAAAGCATCAGGCAAGCACCTCTCTCCCCTTCTTTCCTTCCCCAAATTCTCCCTAAGACTCCGGTTTCCCCAGGTTCTCAGCCTGGGGTGTGAAGCTGCTAATAACAAACACTTCTATATAGTCACGTGGTTTTGTTCTTGGTCTGTTGCCATGGCTCTCAGAAGACATTTCTTTGGGTCAGGACATAGTAATGTCCTGAACTCTTAAGAACAGAAACAAGTTGCTCAGAGACGTGGTCCCCTCAAGAGCTCTGGATTCTTACCTCAGACCTGTTTATGCTTTTCAAATCAAATCAAGCCTTCAGATGAACCACTGCAATAAACCCACTCTCTGCTTGCCACTAGGCTGGGATCCTGGGGACAGGACACTTGGGGAAGAAAAGAAGTGCAGAGAGGACATGGCTGGGTCAGGGGGAAGAGAGGGTGGAGCTGGAAGGCAGTGGCTAAGGGGGGGATGGGGCAAAGGGAGAGAGGCAGGAGATTAGAAAAAGCAGCTTTTACAAAAACCAAAAATAAAAACCAAAACCATTAAAGATGCATAAAGTGACCCTTGCACTTCCGTTGTCTCTTCTTGCAAATAGAGGTGGTGCTGCTAGGGGACTGCTCCAGCACCGGTGTAAGACTTGAGTAGTTGCATACAATGTGTGACTCCAGACCTGGGGAGGGAGGGAAACCAACAGATAGTGATGTTCTCCAAGCTACCTCAGGGAGCCCCATGTGCCCTCCTGGTAAGGCTGCTTGTCCCTGCTTCCCCTGCCCTCTAACCGTGGGAGATGTGTCCTAGTATCAAGAGCCCTGAAAGAGAGGGATGGTAGGGGAGACAAGGGGCTCAGCTTTCCAGGTGACCATCCTGGAGCAGGTCCTACCTCAGGAGCTGCTGAGAGCAGCCAGGGGAGTGGGTGGAGACTCCATGGTCTCCGCCTGGCTCTAACCAGATCTAACATCTGACTTATGTTTAGATTACATTTGTTATCTGAAGACCACATAGTAAAGAGCACAAGAACGCAGCAGTATAGGACAGAAGTGCAAGTCCCAGCTCAGTTTTTACAAAGTGCTGTTCAACTTCATATTTATCTAGAGAGCAGAGCCACTGTGCAAATTATGAATGAGGTGGGACATGTATAGCATGAGGGGATTACAAACCACGTAGCAGGAAAGCAATACATGCTCCAGACTGAAGGTGAGGGCGGCTCTGCGTGGTACCTCTTATGAGATCCCTCCCATCCCTCCCATCCAGCCTCACTCACTTGGATGGGCTGCAGGCTTTACCAGTGCGGGGGCACATAGCTGTACGCCGGGGTTCCTTGGGCCCTGTATGTGGGCATGGACACAGGGTGTGCCCCAATTGCAGTGTGCTGGGGTGTAGTCAGCAGGGTACCTGAATATCCAGAGAAAAAAGATGATGAGGCTACTCCAGGGTACAAGGCAAGTGCTACCAGTTAATCCATGGCACCAGCCCTTTTGCTTCATTTTCAGATTGGCTCTCTCACTTTTGCTGGGCTGGGAATGTGGCTTAGTGGTAGCGCGCTTGCCTAACATGCATGAGCCCTGGGTTTGATTCCTCAATACTACATAAATAGAAAAGGCCAGAAGTGGTGTTGTGGCTCAAGTTGTAGGATGCTAGCCTTGAGTAAAAGAAGCTCAGAGACAGTGCCCAGGCCCTGAGTTCAAGTCCCAGGACTGGCAAAAACAAAACAAAAACACCAAAACCCCCCCGAAGAGCAGCAATTGCTGGTGTCTGATTCTATCTCCTATGCTAGCCTGGTATTCTTTAAGGACAGGACTTTTATCAGACCCATGAATATCTGGTCCTAGGACCTGAGCAACAGGGATGGCACTGAGCAAGCATCTGGTAGCTTGCTAGTATATGGGACAAAATAAAATCCAAATGCCCACTTAACCCTTGGTACTTTTTTCCCTCAGCTGGAGACTTGGATGGCTCTTTAAAGCTTGAGTCTCTGCAAGCTAGTCTTCTTAAATCCTTCAATGGAACACCCGTTTCTCTCTAGGTTTCCTACCTATCCAAAGACCTTCCTGAACCTCTGCTCTCCACCGGCATCCTCAAGGTTCCATACAGTCGTGCTCTGGTCTGACTTGTGGCGCGCAGGAGGGATCTTCAGAGACTCTTGCTTCTGCCATCCCTCAGAACTAATTACAGGACAGAGCCTTGTGCTCCTGCTGGCTGAGTAACACTGACCTTGTGCCCACTTTTCTGGACTCCCTGCTGCTACCAGAAGCTTAGTGTTATTGCCCTACCCCCACCCCCAAACTTTCCTGATAGCTTTCTCACTGGCTGCCTTGCTTCCAGCCTTCCCATTTCTGATCTTGTCACCAGCCTGCAGCCAATGAGCATACTCAAACCCAACCTGTACTTCCCCTGCTTGAAGCCCTTTGCTGGTACCCTTACCTAAAGGCATTCAAGTCCATGCCTTATTCTTGCCAGTGATGCCAGCCACCCTTTCTCCTCTATGCCCCTATTTCTGAAATGCCTTAGTGCCTCTCCATCTTTCTGTCAACTTATACTGCTTATACTCCTCTTCCCTCTTATGCTCAAGGCTATCTGCTCTACCACTTTTGAGCCACAGCACCACTTCCGATTTTCTGGTGGTTAATTGGAGATGAGAGTCTCATGGACTTTCCTCCAGGGCTAGCTTTGAATTGTGATCCTCAGATCTCAGCCTCCTGTGTAGTCATCAGCACCCAGCTTCCTCTTTGCTCTTCTATCTCTCTGCTTAAACTTTTGGCTTACCCTTTAAGGCTTTCACCTTCTTGGTGAGACAGAGGGTCCTTCTAGATTCGCAGACCTGCCCCCCAACTCAGGGTTTCTTATGCAGTGATACAGCCAGCTCCATGACTGCTCCCCTCTCTGCTAGGAGTTCCTGGAGGAGAGCAATGAACATGGAGGCAAAACTGCCCTCACCTGCTGACATCGCCATGGTGGTGCCCGCCACCATGCCCATGGCCACTCCATTGGTCCTTGGGGCAGCAACAGGCGCTGGGTAGATGGCAGAGGGAATGCTGTTGGGCTGGACGACTGTGGTATGGTGGATGACATGGGGCTGAGCAGCGTACACCGGCTGTGTGTAGTAGGCTCCCTAGGAGAAAGAGGCTCAGGTCACATGGGCTGTTGGAGAGGGGTGGTGGGATATAGAGAAAAGAGGATAGGGATGGCCACTGCTTTTCTCAGACCCTAAGAAGCATGGGTCTAGGGACACAAGATCCAGGTCCCAGCTAGGGCTATGTGGCTGTGGTTAGTTCCGTGCTGGCTCAGCTTGGTCTGAAATATGCAAGGTTCTTCCCATCCTGCCTTGCTCCTAGCGTTTCTGTAAAGACCTACTGGAATAAAAGCTTTCTTCTTTTAACCCCATTTTAAACATTTTATGTTTGGATTTTATTGCAATGTGATTTTATAAGCTACTTCACATTTAAAGGTTAGGAAATATGGTCAATCAGATGCTAAGCTTGTGAAGAGGGCCAGGAAGTCCAGAGCACCAAGCACATGCGCTGAAGGTTGGCGGGTAGTATCACCACTCTGCTGCAGCGCTGGCAATTCATACTCTGGAAACATCACCAGTGGATGGAACTTCCCAAAATATCTCTCACCATCTATTTCTCCTATACGAAAGGTGAGGATGAAGACAAAGATTTGAGGTGACTCCCCAGTGCTCAGATCACCTAGGCCTGCTGGCCCCTGGGAAGAGTACACAGGGGTCCCTGAGATTATCCTGTTCTAGAAGTTCCAAAATCTTAATACTAAATGATGACAAGCACCCAGTAGGTCTAACAGCCCATAAATGAGAAAAGATGATCTCGGGCCTGTTTTTTTCTTTTTCTTTCAGTTTTGCTTTCTATTCTGCAATACAGCTAATTTTTTTAAACTAAAAAATAATGCTTTCCTCACCACTTAAAACTCACAAAGAATTGTCATTACAGAAAAATATGTCATAGTTAGGCTAGTCACATCAGTTTCCTGAATGCTCACATTTTCCAGCCAAGGGAGACTACATCGGGGTACTATAGCACACTAAGAATTAAGAATAATGCACCCAAGGCCACATAGGGTGCTGGTACCAGGGCCAGTGTCCTTTTCTCCTTCCTACCTGCTCACCTACTTAGTCAAGGAAAGGTAGGTGTGGGGGTGAGAGAAGACCAAGACACATATATAGGGTCTTATCCTGACCTCATTGTGCTACACTGGGCAAGCCTTTTCCTTCCTTCCTTCCTTCCTTCCTTTCCTTCCTTCCTGTCTTTTTCTTTCTTGCCAGTCCTAGGGCTTGAGCTCAGGGCCTGGCACTGTCCCAGAGCTTCATTTGCTCAAGGCTAGCACTCTACTATTTCAGCCACAGGGTCACTCCCAGCTTTTTCTGTTTATGTGGTACTGAGGAACCGAACCCAGGGCTTCATGCATGTTAGACAAGCACTTTGCCACTAGGCCACATTCCCAGCCTTGGGCGAGCCTTTTTGCTCTCTGCTCTCAACTTCCCCACTTTTTAACAAAGGAGTTGAGCTAAATGATCTCTAAGTACCTGTGCCCCTCTGACATCTGCTCATATAAATGACTTTGTGCTTCATCCTTTTAGGGTCTTAGGTGGAGTGAGGGTAATTTGCTTCATGCCTACACAGACCTCACAAACTCTTCTTGGACTAGACCCAATTCTACCCTACCCATAATACAGAAGTTCTTGCAGAAGAGGTTAGTCCAGGCCACCGTGTGCACCTACCTGGGCATACAGGTTCTGCTGGGGATAGGCACTTCTGATTGGATACATGGCCGTCTGATAGGGGTTGGGTGATGGGGAATAGGGGGGTGGAGCAGTATTACTCTGGGTTGGTGGGACCTTGTATGGTGTCCCTGCGGTATATCCTGTGTCAAGGCAAGAAAAGACACACGGTTAGTTGGTAAAAGAGCATTGTTAGATGACCCAGGCACAACTCCCCAAACAAAGGTGGGCTGAATGAAGGCTGGAAACATAGATGAGGACAAACAGAGCAGGAGTATACTGCAGAGGCAGCTTCCCTCTGCCCTGGTACACAGGGCTGCAGGCCTGATTTAGGCTCTCATCTCATACAATACAACAAGAGAGAAGAACTGGATGGTCTCTTCCAGAACCATTTCTGAGCCAGGGATTCTGAGCTGCCTGTGTGAGAGGCAGGTGCACAGATAGGAAGCGCCTCAGCCCACTCCCTTATGCTACTGTCTCCTCCCTCCTCTGTCTCCTCCCTCCTCTGTCTCCTCCCTCCTCTGTCTCCTCCCTCCTCTGTCTCTTCACTCCTCTGTCTCCTCACTCTTCTGTCTCTTCACTCAGGACCCCAGGGCTTTCTTCTTCTGCTCGTCCTCTCTTGCTCCCCACTAACTTTTGTTCTTTTTTCCCTTCTCTCTCCCTTCCCCTTTATGAACTTTCACTAACCACAATCCTTTCCTCCCTACTAAGTTTGAAGGTAAACCCAATATAAAGCACCATTTTCTGGATGTTGAACTTTGTTCAATAAAGCTAGCTCTTCTTTTCTTCTCTAGGGCTTGAGACTTCAATGTCCCAAAGGCCTATATCAGGTATCACAAAGATTCACATTGACCCAGACTCATGCCATATCTGTGCCTCAGCAGGATAGACAAAAGTTGGAGCTGAGTAGTCCCAAGAAGCTCACAAGCAGACATATCAACTACTGCCCATGTGTCCTCTGGAAAAGAGTCAGATCTTATGCTCACAGGAAACGTGAGCCATGGGCCACCCAGACACAAAACTTCATCCTTACAGAATCACCAATGAAATTGTTCCAGGAAACCAGGTGCTCATGAAATGACCCTGACCACTTTACATAGGGATCATGAGGCTCAGGCAGGAAAGTTTTTTTAGTTTAGAGTCTAAGGACTCTAATAGCAAAAAAGCTTGGCTTGGAAGTCCCAGTAGGAAGGTACTGGGGTGGCTTCTTCCCTATCCTGCATAGATCTGGCTGGCATGGCTGAATCTCTATGCTCACTGTTTTGCCTAAAAGATGTTCACCAAGGACCCTTTCAGCTCAGGGGAACTGTTTCTGCACGATCTCTGGAGGCAGAGATCTAGGCTTCAGTGTTGCTTTCCTCTTAATTGGGTGAATAGGTGGTCTCAGGTGTTTTTTTCCTCATGGTTGACAATCACTTTAGTCACTGCTCTACTCTCAGCTTTTTGGTTCTTAACTGAAGATAAGCATGTCATGGACTCAAATTGCCATCCTTAGATTTCAGCCTTTTAAGTAGCTAGGATTATAGGCATGAGCCACCAATGCCCATTTGATTTTATGATTTTTTTTTTGGTCGGTCATGGGGCTTGAACTCTGGGCTTGGGTGCTGTCCTTGAGCTCTTCAGCTCAAGGCAAGCGCTCTACCGATTAAACCACAGTGCCACTTCCGGTTTTCTAGTGGTTTATTGGAGATAAGAGTCTCACGGGCTTTCCTGCCCAGGCTGGCTTTGAACCGAGATCCTCAGATCTCAGCCTCCTGAGTAGCTAGGATTACAGGCGTGAGCCACCAGCGCGGCTAGATTTTATGATTCTTTAAAAAGTCAGTGATGCAGATGACTTTTTTCCAGCTCCTGGAGAATATATTCTGGAAATTCCATCTGCCCCAGGGCAGGAACACGAAGCCATCTATGCTACAAGAAAAACCATATCACCAAATGTTGGTACTGTTCCTCTGAGGAAATCAAAAGAGACTGCAGTAGAAACTGGCTTCCACGTCTAAAAATAACCTTGTCTGAGAATCTCTTTCTTCGTGTTTTGAAGCAGGACACACTTAGAATATATACTTAGAATACATATCAGTAGCTCACATGCCCTTGGTGACCAAAGATGCTGCTGCAGATGAAGACCTCGCTTACTTTCCATACAGTTTGGGTTGGAAGCAGCAGAGCTGCCGCGCTAGAAGAGATCTTGAGAGATCTCTCACAGAAGAGAGAAGGAACAGACAGTGGTTGCTCCCAGAGGCACTTCCTCAAAGTGACTGAGGTTACTATTTCTATCCGTAGGATCCTACCTGGGGCTTCAGAAACCAGCCATGGCCCTAAGTCTGGGCTCTTTCTGGGCAACACTACCTTCCTCTCTTAGGGATTGCCTTACTGGCACTGACACACTGAGCTCTTGAGTGTTCCAACAGGACTTTTGTGTGTGTGTGTGTGTGCCAGTCTTGGGCTTGAACTCAGGGCTGGGGCACTGTCCCTGAGCTTCTTTTGCTCAACGGCAGCAGTCTACTACTTGAGTGAGAGCTCCACTTCCTACTTATTGCCAGTTAAGAATCTCATATTTTGCTGCCTAGGCTGGCTTTGAAAGATCTCAGCCTCCTGAGTAGCCAGGATTATAGATGTGAGCTACCAATGTCCAGCAGGACTTTTTTTTTTTTTTTTTTGGCGGTGTGGGGAGGAGGGGGAGAAGGGAAGTGTGTGTGTGCATGCACGCACTTGTGTGCACCAGTCTTAAGGCTTGAACTCAGGGCCTGGATGCTATCCCTGAGCATTCAGGCTCAAGGCTCTGGCACTATTACCTGAGCCACAGCTCCACTTCTGGCTCTTTGGTGGTTAGTTGGAAATAAGAGTCTTAAGTGCTTTCCTGCCAGAACTAGCTTTGAACCAAACTGCAACCTTCAGATCTCAGTCTTCTGCGTAGCTAGGATTGGAGGTGTGAGCCACTAGCACCCAGCTCAGGACCTTTATGAGATAGCAACATAGAGGATTTTTCCTAACAGACTGGTGGTCCTGCCAGTTGGGGAACTCTTTTTTTTCTTTTTGTTAGTCCTGGAACTCTGGGCCTGGGCACTGTCTCTGAGCTTCTTTTGGTAAGGCTAGCACTCTACCACTTGAGCCACAGCGCCACTTCCAGCTTTTTCTGTTTATGTGGTGCTAAGGAATGGAACCCAAGGCTTCATGCAGGCTAGGCGAGCACTCTACCACTAAGCCACATTCCCAGTCCCTGTGGGGAACTCTTGAGGAACGATGACAATTTCTTGGGCTATAGCCCGGGCTGCATCTAAGTTAAAAAAAAAAAAAGTTAGGTTTCTAAAATTTAAGGAATAAAAAGCACCTCTGCGCTGGAATCAGGACAGCCCAGTAGTAGAGTGGCTGCCTAGTAAGACTAGGTCCTGAGTTCAAAGCTCAAGATCAACACAACAACAAAGAAACAAAAAAGAACCCTTGTGGATTTTTACACAAACGGACTCGGATCACTCACTGGAGGCATGATGACCCTGAAAGGAGTGCTGAACCTGAAAGTTACAGAACTAGACTTCGAAATGCTATGCCTCAGGACACGAGAGGCTTATCACATTTAGCAGTCTTTTCCTTCCAAAGAACCTAGAGCCCAGAAGGGCAGCAATCTTACCAAAATTGCACAGCAAACCAATGCAGAGCTGAGTCCAAAGTTCAGGGCTTCTTATGCCCTGGGCAGAGATCTTTCTGAATTAATGGTCTCTGCAGTGCAATCCTGGACATTTAATATATTGGCCTCTGTATCCCGTTTCACTAAAGGCAGCATCAGGAGAGAAGAAAATTTGATCACTAGAAGTCTCAGTTCTGCCTTTATAAAAGAGGCACCGTTTATGATGTCAGTTGTTTGTCTCAGGTTCCTAACCATAGTTTTAGGGGTCCATCAAACAGGATTATAAAGAGAATGTGCATTAGCAAAATAAAACCTTTACAGCCCTCTCTTCAATTGCTCTTCCCTGCCATAAATCTTTTCCAGTTGTAGAGCCCCTACCACCTTCAAAGACATTGATCTTCACATCACAGACGCCTTTTAGACTAATCGGTTTATTGATCATCAGATTTATATGTCTGGACAAAACAAAGCTCTCTGTCTGAATCTTGCCTTGACCCCCAACTCTCCTTGTTGGTAGCTGCACAAGGGAGTGCTGAGTAAGTAGGCGGGAGACCTAATTACAAACAGGCTTAACAAGTGCTGGCAAGACTGAGCTGAATTTGTCAAAGTGCCCTGACTGTTCGGTGGCAGGAGAAGCAATGAAACTCTGAATGCTGGGCAGAGCTTTTCTGTGTGTGAGTAGGCCAGTCAATCCCAACTGTATTTAAAAACTACACAGGTTTATACACTACTTGCTTAAAAGAGAAGGATACATTTTGGTCCTTTCCCGGGTGGGCTGTGGCTTCTGGACATTTTAGTGGGACTGCAGGAAGCTCTGAGCACAGTAGAAGGCAAGGTCTGCTGATACTCAGACCACCCAGCTACAGCAAGGCTTGTTCTGAGAGAACACGCACCCATCCCTGCAGTATATTAGCGAAGTCTTGATGGCCAACTACTATGGGGTCAGCTAGAGAGGAAGGCCTTGTTGGTTGGAGGACATTGGCACACAGCTTCAAGGTCACACAATTAAGAGACTAATAGCTAGAGAGAACCTTGGAAATCACCTTGTCCAGACCTTCATTTTACAACTCAAAACCCAAGGCATGAACAGAATTATCGAAAGCAACAGGTCTAGAATCCAATTCTGGGTTTCAACACCAGGCCCCTTTCTGCAACACTATAGTAGATTGCCTTTATAGATCTACATCCAATTGTGTGGATGTACAAGAAAATATTACATGCCAGTTTACAACACATATAGTCTCAAAAATGTTCACTCAATTCTACTTGAGGCATCTGTAAAAGCTCCCTATGGCTGTCATCTTTTTTTTTTTTTTCCTGTTGGTCGTGGGGCTGGAACTCTGGGTCTGGGCGCTGTCCCTGAGTGCTTCAGCTCAAGGCTCGTGCTCTACCACTTGAGGCACAGTGGCACTTCTGGTTTTCTGGTGATTTATTGGAGATAAGAGTCTCATGGATTTTCCTGCTGGGGCTTGGCTTTGAACCTTGATCCTCAGATTTCAGCCCCCTTAGGAGCTAGGATTACAGGCGTGAGCCACCAGCGCCCGACCTGTCATCTTTTTCTTAAAGAATAAAATCAGCTTCATGAAAAAGTAATAGAATCTTAATCTGTATGTTTTCTGTTGTATTCCAGCCAAGCAGTACGTCAGTACTGTTATCTTTCTGAGCCTCAGCTTTCCAAGTAGGATGAAAATCCATCCATATAACTTTTGGGACAATAAACAGTGTTGGTTAAATGGGAGAGTGATTATGAAAACATACTTTTCAAAGGGTGAACTATGATTGACATCTGCAGCAATGATGAGGAAAATGACACTAGATTGTTTTGTTTTTGCTAACCCTGGGGCTTGAACTCAGGACCTGCCTCTCTGTGCCCAAGGCTAGTGCTCTACCACTTAAGCTACAGCACCACTTCTGGCTTTTTCTGAGTAGTTTAGTTGAGATAAGAATCTCATGGACTTTCCTGCCAGGGCTGGCTCTGAACTCAACTTTGATACTCAGATCTCAGCCTCTTTAGTAGCTAAGATTAGGGCTGGGAAGGTGGCTCAGCAAAAAGAAAAAAGCCGGAAGTGGCACTGTGGCTCAAGTGGTAGAGCACTAGCCTTGAGCTGAAGAGCTGAGGGACAGCGCCCAGGCCCAGAGTTCAGGCCCCAGGACTGGACCAAAAAATAAAATAAATAAGTAGCTAAGATTATAGGCATGAGCCACTCGCACCCAGCCAACACTGAGTGTGTTTTAAAGAAAAAGGAAAAAAAAAAGTATGTATAACACAATGCTTAGTAAACTACTAATCCCCTATAATATCCTTTGGAGCGTTTGTCCAGTGCCTGCTGGCACCGTATCACATATACATGCTTCCCACATCCAAAGCCAGCCACGGTCTATTGGACAGTTCCCACAGGCAACAAGGTCTTCCTTATATGGCATCAAACTGCCAATCACTATTTCTAAACCATGGTCCTCATTTCCTCATTGAAGCCATTTGGGTTACAAATCAGCTGTGAAGGTAACAGCTCCAGTTACCCTGCCCCTCAGCCTCGAGGTGAACACAACCAATTTGACTGCCTCTGGCTTCTATCCATGGACTGCACATACCTGCTCCAACAGTGTAGCCCCACTAGAACAGTGTTTCTCCTACAAGAGGCAATTTTGTCACCCCCAATCCCATGCACCCCCACTCATTTAGCCATGTTTTGAGACCATTTGGGTTGCTGCATGTTCTCTGCTACTAGCATCTAATGGGTTGAGGCCAAGGTTGCTGCTAAACATCCTATAATGTCTAGGACAGCCTGCCTGCCCCCTTCCACCCTGGGAAAAAAAAATGATTTGACCAAGATGTCAAGAGCATTGGTAAGAAACCCTGTGTTAAGGAAAAGCGCACTCTATCCAAACGTGCCCTTTGTCTTTTCCCCTGAAATTCAGTAACAGTATTTCTGAAATCAAACTTCTTGGCCAGGTAACTACATCCTTCCACACTCCTTAAAGGTGGATGCATGATCAAAGAGAATCTTTCCTAAATGAGGAAGGGCAAATTTTGGTGTGAGTATGAGAACCCTTTAAGACAGTATTTAGATTATAAAATGTAGTAGGGTTTTGTTTTAAAAAATTCCTTTCCTTTCTTCCTAAGAAACAAATCAATCCCAACAAGGGAACAAGGAAAGGAAGAGACAGGCTGTATTTACTGAAAGCTGCAGAAGATGCTTGGTAAGTTCGGTTCTCAGTCCCGGTGTCCACTGGGAGGTGGAAGGTGCCTTCAGTGCCACAGGAAGATGAGTTCTGTGGCCAGGCCTGTTTCATCAGCAGAGTGGCTTAAGGAAAGACACAAGAATGGCATTAGGCAGGAATAAGTGGATACCACCAATTACAGACACAAAGCAAGGGAGGGGTCTTGTGCTAGACAGAAACACACAGAATGATTCAGCCTTTCTGAGATGGTTAGCAGTTGGGAGGAGTGCTCAACTGAGCTTTCAAATGACTTAAAACCAAGGAAGTCTGCCAGTATATTAACAGAATCAGGATTTTCTACCCATGAAGATGCCCATGCATTTAGCTTCCTTCCATCTGACTCCTTGTCTAAGCCTCTGGTATATTCTCTGCAGCCGCTTTTTCATTAGCATGGAAGCAACTTGGAGCCTAAGAATGTGTGGTGGGCCAGATCAACTACATTCCCCACACTCATTTTTTTTGTGTGTGTCTAAAATCTTATCAGGAGGTATATTTAAGCAAGTTGCTGTCAAAGAGAAATTCACAAGTAATTATCACATTACATAAACCTTAATGAAATACCATCTCCTCTAATGGGATTGAGCTGTGGCCATGAAAGCTCAAACAGCACAGGGCCAAGCCCTTCTCCAGGATACCTAGGTATGGTCAGATGAACAAGCCTCTGGCATTCCCCTGCATATCTCCTATTGACACCCCTCCTGACTCAGATTGAGGCCCAGATTGAGATCTTAGGAGATATCCCAAGCTGACTCAAAGCTCTGCTTGGGAAATTTTAAAGATGGTATTTCATATATTCTAGAAATGGGGAGTGACTAAAAAACTTACCATTGTGGTATCCTGAGGTGGAAAGAGGAAATAGGACTTCAAAAAGGGAAATCGCCTAACATTTTACTGTACTTTCAAACATTAGACCCAAATTTCTGCTATGGTTCCACTCAAATAAGGATTTAAGTCTGGTGGTATGGGGTATTTTAAAATACTAATTAGCAGGTGGTGCTGATACATGTGATACATTTTAACATGAGGCTATGGTAAGATGTGGTAGTATGCAAAGCAAGTTTGCCTATATACTGTCTAATTCCACCAGGATAGCTACCTTCTAAGAGATTTCATAATGCCCTCTGCCTGACTGAGGACCAACTAATGTCTCAGTTTCTTCCACCAGAGATATTAAGGAGAGGGAAGGTCAAGCACTCTGCTGTTCTTGCTGAACCAAGGTTAGAAGTATAGCTCTAACCTGTGTTTGCATCAATGGCCCACAATCTATACAGCGGATGTTGAGGAATGAGAAGGAAATCATGGGCAGGAAAAGTGACACTAAAAGGAGAATTCTGATGTGAGAAACAGTGGCCCTGCAGAACTTCATGTAGAGCCCAGGACCTTTGCTGGCTATCCTGACACAGCTCTGCAGACAGTGCAGGAAGAAGCAGGTGCCTGTTTTAGAAAATTAACTTGGGTGTCTTTTCCAGAGGTAGGGCACTGGTATGAAGGGGATTCATAAAGGTTCCAATTAGTGCTGACAAGTCTTATTAAGATGTATCCAAATTTAGAACCTGATGCTCCATATGACTAGAAAACCATGACCACCCAAAACTCCCTAAAACGTTAAGTATGTAGCTTTGAGAAGCCAAGATGGAGCAAATTCATTGCTTACAAGACCTCACTGGGACTCTACCAAGGAGCAGAAGGCCTAAATTTGACTGTAGGAATTTGGAGAATTTAGACATCCTGATTCATTCCAGCCTTTCCTTCAAGTGGCACATACTTTAATATACTTTTCATCATAAGGAAAAAGTCTGACATTAGTCTGAAGAACTGTGTGACAAAATAAATAAAAATTAGCTAAAGAGTACTGAGGCCTAACTGTACTTAGCATTGACGGGAGTGCCACAGTGGACAGGAACACACGTTGGTCACACTGCACACAAAGTACTTACATTCTAGCTAAGGATGCAACACAGCCACACGCCAACCAGGGAGTGAACAAGACAGCACAATACACAGTAAAATGTTTTAGACTAACCAGGAAAGCAAAAGAGTGACTGTGCCTTAATTGTCTTTCCTAAGTGATCATGTGAGCTATGTGTCTTCCTGAATAAAGGGATAGTTTCTTCTGGTTTAATGATACAAAGAAAACATAGTATTTTTTGTGACTCTTTGTATATTTGAATACTTAAGGATTTAAATGATTGGATAAATATGAAAACGAAAAACAAACCCAAAGATTAGCTGTCAACTTGGCCTCATCATTAGTTGGCTGTGCCATGTGACCTTGCTCTTCCACATACAACTCTAACTCATTCTGTTGATTCAAAGCTTAGTTGCTGATGAAGCCAATCCCAACCCAAGTTTTTGGAGGCATGGTGAAGGAAGTGGGTGTTTGGACAGCTAGGGCTGTTCCTGGGTGCCAGAAAGGAGCCACTTCCTTGAACTGAATGATAGGCATGTCATATGAGAAATTATTAAATTGTACATCTAAACTAGTGTACAGATCGTATCTGTATTTTCAAGGAAAGAGGACAGGCAGCACAAAAGAGAAAGCCCTTTCCAGTGAAGGGCCATGGACCCAGTCACAGAAGGGTCCCACGTCCAGCTACTGGGTTGTTCACTCCCTGGGTACGGGACCTTCACACCTTCTGACATTCAAACAATTTTGTTAAGCACACTTACATAGAAGAGAGGCAGCAAGGGACCATTATCCGAAACAATGTACCAAGTCAGGAAATCTGAATCCAAGCCTGGGCTCTGCCACTTCTTAGCTGTGGGATCTTGGGCAAGTCGCTTAATCTTTCTAAGCTTCAGTTTTGTTGTCTCATAAAATGGCAATAATAATCATTTCCTGACTGCTTCATAGTACTGATGTGAGGGTCAAAAATAAAGTGTCATCCAGTCTTTCAGTTTATAGTTCAGGTAGCTGTGCTACTCTTCCATCCTCACAGTTGTAGACCTCTCCAATTCAAACTCTTACCACCTCACCTGGTCTACTACAACTGTGTCCTATTTTATTAGCTCTTAAACCTGTCCCCTCCAGTCTCCAGGCTACAGTCACAGAGAGGTAGCTAAGATTGAAAGCTAATCACCAAGCTCTCTTTCTTAAGACACTACCATGGTTCTCCACTGCCCACAGGCTGCAGTTTAAGTTCCTGGTGAGAAGTCAAGGTTCCCGTAGTGTAGTTCTGATGATCCTTCTAGACTCCCTTCATTCTCACTCTCCAAACTACTACTGCACACAATCTGCTTAGCATTCCCAGATTCAAGGCGCTTCACACTGCTGGTTCCCCTGACTATTTCTCCTTACATTCCACCCGGTAAACTTGTATTCAGCTATCAATCATGACATAAAGACTTGCATCAACTATGAAGCCTTTTTTCCTTACTCTTAATCCACAGGCCCTACAGCAATCCAATATAGTTGATTATCCTAGTCCCTGCTCTTTGGGAATGGGAACTTTGTCTTACGTATCTTTGTGTTGCTCAAGGGCCAACTTAAGGCCTGACTTAGAATACTCTACAACATAAAGAGTTGCATCTATATTCCTTAAGCTTCTCTCCTCACTTCAGATGGGAAGATGAAGAGGCTGAGACCTCTAGCTTTTATGGATACTTCTGTCTGAGTTCATGTATCCTGAGACAAACAAAAAAGGACTCCTCATAAATGATAAGTGAAAGAGGTCTATGGCGAGCAATAGTGAAATAATAAAATTTTAAGAGAATAGGATGTTACCACTTAAAGAGTCCTCAGTGTGAACTAAGACACTTTATTTATGGCCTAGAGACATTAGCACATTGCCCAAGATCACACAAGCCCATAGTAGTGGCAAGAAGAAATTTCTCAGCTCATCTTCTGGAAGATGTGCTATATAAAAATTCAATTTCCAATATTTAAATAATCAAGGTAAAAGTTGAGAAAATATAGAGAGAGTAAAAACAAAACAAAAACAAAGACCTGTCCTTCATAGCCCAGGTGAGGGTGGTAAAAGCATGGTCCCTTCCTGTCTAAGACAAAAAGAACCTCACCAAATTACACTGCTGGGACCCTCACAGGTGCCCAGAAGTTCCTGTGGTGCCTTGGGCCTGGAGTCCACACCTCCCCAAGTTCTGATCCCTTACTCATTAACAAACTTGGCCCCTACCTTTCATCATCCAGGAAAAAGTCCTGAAAATGAGCCCAGAGTTCAAGATTTGGGCTAAGGGAACTATATCTTAAGTCAACTAGGTCTTCAAACATGTCAGACTGCTGATGAAGATAGAAAAATCTGATCCTGGGGCCAACTGATGTTTTGGGTTCTAATAGGCATAATCTATATAATTCCTCCAGAAAAGCTGCCACAAAGCCAAGAGAGGAACCACATATGGGTCCTGTCATTTTTGTTCATTTGAATTTGCAGCCAGGTTAGGGTAAGAGACGCCTTTTAGTACCATGATCCTTCATTGCTACCTGAGGGGAATGGTTCATGTGTGTCTCCAACCCATGATTTTGCACCATCAGACATGTTCCTGCATGCTTTAGGAACTGCTACTGAGCCACCTGGGGGAGCCCAAGCCTAGGGGATGGGATTTGGGGAGGAGGGAAGAAGGGGAGCTACCATTGTTACAAGATAACACATATATAGGCCATAATACAGATGAGGAAAAATAGCTCTCCTACCATAAGCTGAATGCAGGAACTGAAACTCTGTTGGACAGAAATGTTAGTTGAAATTACCACTAAGAATTTGTGCAAAGTTGTACATATTTCAGTTACATAACAGATTTTGTCTCAAGACATCAGTTTTCCCCCATGCTGCACAAGAAACTGAACACAGAGCTGCAAAGCATCTCTCCCCCAGAGAGGGTGACAGACTTGCCATCCAGGAACGTTCTTTCATTGTACAAGGGCATCTCTATGGAAGCCTTTCAGGCAATTGACCCAGAATTACCTGGATGTGAACAAGCCTAAACTCTGTTCTTGTCCATATTAAGAACACCTGGAATTTCACACATGTATGAGGAAGTAAAGGTTCAGGGATAATTATTGCTATCACAGGCCTTTCAAGAGCTGTTGATAAAACCCTAGAGCGCTAGACCCAATGCAGCCATACTC